CTCCTCTGCAAACTTGCCGGTGGGAGCCTCCTTCACTAGCAGCCTTAGACCAATGCGATTTCTATTTCCTGAAAGGGGTCGGTCTTGCCTTTTCGCCTGTACGTGATCGGAGGAGGCTTCAAAGATTAAGAGTTCTGAATCAAGGGGATTGTGCACAGCTTTTTGACTACAGCGCGTGTTTCAGCATGAAGTTCGCTCGGTGTCGACGTTTCTGGCTGGAGACGAGAATGTGGATTCACGAAATATTGGCACGGAACATTGGCCATTGAAGTTGAATGTTCAGTTCTATGAAATCTCACCGGACAATTTTTACACGAAGGTAGATAAAATATTTATTCTGCACAAGTCCGCATGGATGAACACTTGAGGGACCCTTTGTGCAGAACTGAAATTATTCAGTGGACATGAAGGCTTTTGCTTAAACCTGAAAAGGAAGAAGCTTCAAGAAGGGCGAACAAGTTCTGAGTATGGTAATGTCAGTTCTGCACAATGAGTTCTTTGCAAGTCTACCCCTCCAAGTGTACTTGTCCCATTTTTTTCGAATTTAAAGTGTGGACAAATTTCAGGCGTGTATATTGACGGAGCGAACAGGGCAGGTTACTTGCTTCTTGAATTCTACCTACAATAAAGCAGAACTCACGGATGGCTGTGATTTGGGTCGATTAGGAAGTGAGTGGTTTTAATGCTCTACGCTTGTCTTGAACTATCTTGTTTTATGCATAGATAGCTTTCGCGGGCAACTGCTCTCGGTTGTCAACATCGTTGTTTAGCTGACGTAGAGTTATGATCCCTGCAAAAGATAGGGCGTGTCACGCGGCGCAGATTGGAGCGCAGCCGGGCGCCTTTTTTCATCAATGTTCCCAGCCTCAGCCTGCTACAGTTGGCGGGAAGTCTGCCCTAGCTGCGCTCCAAGCCTTGCCTCTGTCGTGTGCCCTATCAGTAGCAGGGATCATAACTGTAGGTATTCAGTAGTAGGCAATAGTGTCAACAGAAACTGTCAAAA